GAGAAACTGACAAGACAACCTAATAATCACAACAGTGACTTTACTCTGTGTCCCCAGCATCTGAGAGGGCTAGGCAGTTAGGGGCACAGTAAATGGCAGCTTCTATTTTAAAGGAGTTTATGAACATAAAAGTTCTATATATTTGCTGTAAAAATTTCAAAGATTATTGGCCAGGTGCAATGGCTCACACCTATAACCCAGCATTCTGGGAAGCCAAGGCAGGAGGATCCCTTGAGCTCAGAAGTTCAAGAACAGCCTGAGCAAGAACAAGAGCAAGAGCAAGACCCCATCTCTACGAAAAATAGAAAAATTAACTGGGTATGGTGGTACATGCTTGTAGCCCCAGCTACTTGTGAGGCTGAGGCAAGAGGATCACTTGAGCCCAGGAGTTTGAGGTTGCTATGAGCTAGGCTGATTGATGCCATGGCATTCTAGCCTAGGCAAGAGTGAGACTCTGTCTCAAAAACCAACAAATAAACACCAGGTAATAGTGAAGGAAATAAATTGCAGTAAAAACTCCCCAAACAAACAAACAAAAATCCTGGGCTCAAGCAATCCTCCTGCCTCAGCCTCCCATGTGGCTGGGACTATAGACTCCTGCCACCATTCCTGGCTAATTTTTCAATTTTTAGTAGAGATGGGGTCTTGGTCTTGCTCTTGCTCAGGCTGTTCTTAAATTCCTGAGCTCAAGGGATCCTCCCAGGGTGCTAGGATTATAGGCGTGAGCCACTATGGCTGGCTGAGTCCAGGATTTTGAGGTTTCTGTGAGCTAGGCTGAGGCCATGGCACTCTAGGCTGGGTGACAGAGAAAGACTGTGTTCAAAAAACCAAAAATGTGGCTTGGCGCCTGTGGCTCAAACGGCTAAGGCGCCACCCACATATATCTAAGCTGGCGGGTTTGAATCCAGCCCAGGCTTCCAAACAACAATGATGGCTGCAGCCAAAAAATAGCCAGGCGTTGTGGTGGGCACCTGTAGTCTCAGCTACTTGGAGGTGGAGGCAGGAGACTCGCTTGAGCCCAGGAGTTGGAGGTTGCTCTGAGCTGTGATGCCATGGCATTTCACCCAGGGCGATAGCTTGAGGCTCTGCCTCAAAAAAACAAACCAAAAATATACATATTTTTTTCAGTGATAATTAAGTGAAAGGAGGAAATGCCCTTTTCTCACCATGTTCTCCAGTGGAGGTTTTGGGTATTCTTCCATTCCTCTCTATGTGCAAATAGTCTACATAGTATCCTGCAAACTGTATTTTTTCATTTTATAAAATAATCAGTATCAAACAAGGTAATACCTGTCAAGTGCTTGCAACAATGACCAACCAGCTCAGTCAGCTACTGTATTTTAACTTATCATGGACAGCTTTCTTAATTTTTACATACAGATTCCCTTTTATTGTCCCTAACCTGGGGATAGAGAAGTCCCTACAGGAACTCTGTCTTGGGGAAAGAGGTCAAATGTGCTCTCCATCAAGGTAGGGGAGGTTGTTCTCATGGAAACCAAATAAAAAAGGTGTATTGCTATTGGGAATAAGGCTAACAAGGGACGCTCAGCCTCCTTTGCTGAATGCTGACTGGTGGTATTCAATCATCTAAGTTAGAGACAGGGCCCAGACCAATGTTGAGAGTGACATGCCCAGTACCTGGTCCAGGTCTGGGATTCCTAAGCACTTCCAGCCAAGGCCTCTCCTGCCTACCCAGCCTGGCCACTGTGGAGGGTGGGGGAGGTGCTGCTCAGGCCTGATGCTGATCTCTCCTGACAGCTGCTCCTAAGGCTGGCAGGATGGCAGGCAGTTGGGGGGGAGGGGCCAGATTTAAAGGTCCAGCTGCCCCACCCCCTGCCAGACCTGGGCGGGCAAGCAGGCATCGGTCAGTGAGCATCCTTTGACGGAATGGGTCTTGTGCATATGGAAAGTCAGGGACCCCTATACCCTGCTTTCTACTTCTTGGTAGCATGAGCAACTCTGATCTTCATATCCGCTCCCACCCTACAGGCTGCCAGGGAGACCAGTGCCCCCCACCATGAGATTTCGACGTTTGACCCCAGGCTATTTCCGGGTGCTACAGGTAAGTACTGCTGACTAATGACTTTGGGCACCACTAACCCCTTCTTTCCCCCTACCATGGCTGGCCTGACACCCCTAAAGGCCAGGCTGTCACGTTCCGTGCCGCCTGAGCAGCCAGGACCCAGATGGGCAGTGAGGCGAGAGGATTGGGGTGGAATCTCCCTGGGGCACCAATGGTGTCCATGTCTTCTTCACTTAGCTGCACCTTCTCAGCCTTTCCCACTCCCCACGTTCCCAGAAGTCTCAAGGACCCCCTCAGGCACACACTGTGTACCCCCAGATGCAGGTAGCCGGGGAGCTGAAGGCAGAGCCCCGAAGTCGGTTGGCTGGGGTTGTGGCTACACTGCTGGCTGTCCTTGGGCTGGGTGGCTCCTGCTATGCTGTCTGGAAGATGGTGGGGCAGCGGCGGCCACCACAGGCCCCATGACGCAGCGAGGAGTCTTTCACCCAGACCCTGGAGGTAGGTGACCCAGGGGAGGAGGGCTGCAATCTCAGGAGCCCATTTCTTTTCTGGAGATCAGTCTGTGTCCTCACTGGAAGTAGGACAGATTAAATCTGGCCACACTCCCCTACCCCACACTCCACCTAGGTTTTGACTCGGGGCTCCAGCTCAGATACTAGGACTCCAGAGGGAAGGCAGGGATGCAGATTCCGAAGCTGGACCAAGTAGAAAATAGACACTGAGGGGCTTACACATATCATGTAGTATAGAGACCCGTCCAGGGCAGGAGTTTGGAAAAGTGGCCTGGAAGTTAGAGAGTCAGAGGCAAACCTTCTTTGTCCAGTTCCTTTATTGGGGGAAGGGCACCCAAAAGAGGCCATTCACTCCCCAAACCCAAAGACTAAAAGAGATTGGCACACTCTCCTAGCCTAGTCCTTGCATCACTGTCCATGGGCAGCTCATCTGCCTTGCATCCCCGGGCTACATCAGGTAGATGTGTCCATCTCAGGGACATCAGTGGACACTTCCGTCGGCACTGCAAGTCTCTTGGGGGGCACATAGGAACCCATACCCGCTGCCCTCTCCGCCTCTTCCTGACTGTAGGGCTCCACACTCAACTGCTTCAGCCTGGGGGAAAGAAGAATAGGAGTTGGGAGCTGACCAGGTGCGAGGCCTGCCTGCGGAGCACCCATCCATCAATCTTCTCCTTATTACTTCATACCTTTTCTTGTGGTCTTTGGATCGGAAGTGGGTCTTCAGGTTGGAAGAATCAATGAAGTACCTCCTGTGAGGGATGGGGGGAGAGGAAGAAAGTGAGGAGGTGATGTCTCTCAGGTATGCCTATCTCTCTGACTGTAGCTCGTTCCCTGACGCCAGGATCCTGGCCTCAAGGAATGGGACGCGGGCAGACCCTGTGCGGCGTGGGGCTCGTACCTCACATCTCCCAAGCCATAGACCCTCCTCCGAGCCAGGTTCGGCCGAGACTTACGCGCAGGCCAGACAGCGATGTAGGCCGCCCCCTGGCAGGTCAGGGTCGGGTTCAGCGCCCGGGTTGGACAGGGGCCGTGTGGGACCCTGAGGCCGCAGCTCGCGGTGAATCTCATCCAGGTCCGGCTTCCGCCGCCTCGCCTTCATCTGGCGGGCTAGGGAGTGCGCCCGGTGCGCTCCAGTCCGGCGGGAGCGACCCATGGCCGCTAACAGCCAGGACAACTGGCCTGAAGTAAAGCTGGAAGTACACGTGAAGGAGCTTCCGACAGCTCCACGACGTCACAGGACGCCGGGGGCGCTGTAGCCCTGCCCGACCGCCTCTGATGACGTCACCCGCACGCCGCGTCTTGAGCGCCCCCAGGCGCCTGTCTGCGACAATGTCGGAGCTGGGGGCGGGGCCTGACGAACTTAGCTAACTGGAAGGCGCGACCGCCAGACTTGCGCTGGGGAGTGGCGGGGTCTGGGGCCCGGGAGCTTTGAGACTGTGCTTCTGTCCTGCCCACTCAGACTGGCCAGACCTATCTCAGCGCCATCCTCTTGGCCTTATCCCTTTCTAGTTCCCAAACCCTAGAATCCGCAGAGAGGGTTGGAATGCTTAAACGTCTCTGGAAGGCACTGATAAATGTCTGTGATGTGAATATGTTAATAAATGAGTGAGAATGAATGAGTGTGGAATTTCAGCTCCAAGGGCCATAGCTCGCGGTGAATCTCATCCAGGTCCGGCTGCCGCCCTTCGCCTTCATCTGACAGGCTAGGAAGTAGCCCGGCTCAGGGCTTCGTGAGATATCTCCAGTCTTCACCACTTCTCCCGGCTCCCAGTTATTCCCTTGGGTGCTGTCCGTCCTCCATCCACCACCCCCAGCCAATCTGAGAGGAAGGGTGTTCCTTGCAGAGATCACAGTACGTACGCGTCCCGTCAGAATTAAAAGGGGTCGGCTCAGCGCCTGTGGCTCAAGTGGCTAAGGCGCCAACCACATACACCTAAGGTGGCGGGTTAGAATCCAGCCCGGACCCGCCAAACAACAATGACGGCTGCAACCAAAAAATAGCTGGGCATTGTGGCGGGCACCTGTG